TCAAGCTGGCCCTATTTTCGTTATAAGGACCATCACAGGGGACGAGAGTTGGGACTCTGTAATGGTTTTTAAACCCTGTCAATGACCTAAAAACTGAGCTCACTTGTGTAGAGTCCAGCTGTACCATGCAAGCTGCAAGCTGCTGAATAGAAAGACCTACAAAGTACTTCTTTGATAAAGTGGTTGCATATTGTGTTTTGTTGTTCTGACTGGATGCACTTGCAGAATAAAGCACTCACAAGTACATGTTAACCTACTGCCTAATCTATTGTTTGTATATAGATTAAGTAGTGAAAGTTTATTTATATTGTCAGAAACCTTCTCATCAGTCCTTGCAAGTGCTCAATAATGTTCTCATTATAATGAATATTATATTTAAATTTAAGCCTGTCTACAGCGTGTGTTTGTTGATCTAGTTGCAGCTGCATGCAGTTGCCCTTTCAGAGGTGAATACAGTTGCATTAAACTGATGAAATAATTGCATCATAGTGAGTCTGGACATTCTGTACTTTAGCTTTTGAGAGTCACAACAATACTTTTCTATTTAGAGCTGCAGTACTCATGAAGGTCATCTCACGTTTCATAAATATTGACCTGCTATTTTCAGATCAAGGTCAGCGTGTTTTAGTGTGCGGACTGTTTATAAAGCAAGCTGCCTTGCAGAGACTGAAATTAGTCAACTGGGACTGGCATACTTTTATTCAGAAAGAGGAATCAAATGTCTTGACTTGTAGCTGAAGGGAGGTTTTTAGTAAGCCTCATATATGCTGATATGTCTGTGGGTAAAATACGATTTAAGAATTAAAGTCAATCACTTATGTAATCACGTATGTAAATGCAGACTTTAGAGTTATTTTAGAAACCATCAACCATCAAACCAATGAATTTAGCAGGTTTTGGCTGATCCACACACATTTATTATTTTTTTCCTTTAGTTTTTACTTATACCACCTTAAAAGTTTATGGAAGCATGGATTGACTGGCTACTTGTAAAAGTCCAGTATTTCTGTTATTTTTATCCTTTTTTTTGGTCTCCTCAAACTCCTACAGGATTTTTTCAGCCATTTAATAGTGGTCTGCTTCTGCAGGGACTTTGTAAAGAAGTTGTACTCTCAGTTTTGTGACAGAAAGGTGTTGATGCTGTTAATTGTTTTAGCTTGCTTTATTGTATATTTACCTTAAATGGACCAAAGTGCTATGACACCTACGCATTAGACCTACCGGAGCTGTTTGGACATAAGATCCATGTAGTGAAGCTCCCAGTGGACAGCTTTTGTGCTGATGTTAATGCCACAGGAGGTA